TGCGTTCAGGCCGAACGCGGTCGCCCTCTGGCACCACGGGCCAAACCGCGCGGCTTGTCACATCGAAGCATCCTCGAGGGCGATCCCACCCTCAGCATGCATGATCCGGAGAGAGAGGTCAAACCAAAAAGATTAACTGTTGGCACTCCGCGCGGATTTCTTGGATTGGCGTTGGGCCCCCCCTGGGCGGCGGCTCCGGCGCCGCCCCTGGCGTGCTCCACGCGCCAAGGACTGGGGTCCCGCGCCGATCCATCCGCGCGGATCTCCGAGAAGGTATGCTTATGCGTATGTTTCTTCCTCTAATGATCGGCGGCGGGCGAGGGGGGGGAAATGAGAAGGAGAAGGCCTTCTCAGAAGGCGGCGGGACTTCTCCGAAGCCCTCGCGCCTTCTCAGAAGTTTGCTGTGTCTTCGGGGAAGGCTCAGTAAACTTCTCAGAAGGCCGGGAGCTAGACTTCTGAGCCTTCTGAGAATCCCGCCCCTGCTCACTCCTCCCCGGGCGCGCCCCCAAAATGATGCCACCTTGCGTTTCCAAGTCCGCCTTCACCCTTCGGTGTCCGTGGCCTCGCGAGGCGGTGCCCTGGCAGTCGGCCTGTCACTGTGTCCTGCCTCTTGACAGAAAGCTGCCCCCCCGCTGCGGCAAAGCATTCCGTATTTCTTGCGCCATCGTTTGTATGGGCCACGCCACGCTCGATTCGTTTGTATGGGCGACGCCACGCTCGACTCGGCCACGCCATTCTCGACTCGCCACAACGTTTGGCGCTCCGCGCGGATTTTTTTGGATCCGCGCTGGGCACCCCCAGCACCGCCTCCGGCGCCGACTCTGGCGCGCTCCGCGCGCCAGGGAGGGGGTCCAGCTTGGATCCAAGAAATCCGGGCGGAGCGCCAAAAGTTTATGTTTATGATACGAATGCAGTTTTTTCTTCTTCCAGTGTTATTTGCGCCATCGTCTGTATGGACCACTCAACGCTCGACTCCATCGCATCGCGCTCACCGGCGCTGAAGTTGGGTGAGGAGACGGCTACGCGGCCTTGTGTGAAGATTTTGTTGACACATGTGGACGCTCTCAGATCGACGCGGCTCAGGCTGCCGGCGACTGCGTACAGTCAAAACCCATAGTAAGGACGCGCTGCTTCATCAAGGCCACCCTTGCATCCCTGCTTCTTCGGCACATCCCGGGCCGATGTTGACGTCCGAGGAGCTCTGAATGGCAAGTGGGACCTCCAAAGTCTTGCATCCTTTCCCCGCGTCCATACTGTGGATCTCCACTGCACGTCGATATGCCATGTGGGACTCCAGGGCCTCCGCGGATCTGCCCCCCCCGACGCCCCCGGCAATCCATCGACGGTGCGAGAGCCTTCGCTCCGACGAAGGCATCTATACACCACCAACCACCGTGCCAGGCCAGAGCCATCTTGGGCCCCAGGATGGTGTATAGACCCTCCTGGCTTCGGCCAGGAGGGCGTATACACCGTAGACAGCGATTCGATTCGCTCTAGATCCGGTCCGATTTCGCGATCCGATCCAGCGCAGACCTTGAGACCCTGGCGAGGATCCATCGATGTCTGCACCTAGGTCGGCGGACCTCTGCGGCGGCAGCAGCCCGCGACGAGGGGAGGGTGCTGCGTGAGGGAGCCCTCCGGGACCCCTCCATTGCTTGCTGGACCCCTCGGTGGTTTCCCGGGTGGGGTGGGCCCTCACCGATCTTTGCAGGCGCCAGGGAACTCCTGCACCCCCCCCCGAAGGCCCCCGCAGCTGGCCCTCGCACAAGAGGGGCGCCACAGGGCCCGCACTGGCGGCTCCGCCTTCTGCTGGCGTGGGGCCCAGCACCGGGGTGTGAGTCGCAAGCCCGCCGAGGCCGGCGGCCGAGCTCGGCGGCGACGGCGGCGCGCCGCCGGGGCCCTCGGCGTCGGGGCGCGGCCGGGGGTTGGCAGACCGAGGCGGCCAGCGCGGAGCGGCCGAAGCCAACCGCGACGGCCACCAAGATGTGGACACGCACGTGGTCGGCTGCCGCTGGCCTGCGATGGAACGCCCTCGCTCGCGCACTGATTTGGACGGTCTCGGCGTCACGCCGCTCCTTTATGCTTCTGCGGTGAGGGGCAGCATGGCAGTCGAAATCACCGGTGACGCCCGCGAGGGTTGTCTGAAGAGTCTCGGGACCTCCCGCCCCGCCGAGCACGCGATCCACAGGCTTTTTGTGTCCCAGGTCGCCTCGCGTGGAGATGCCCGGTGTCGGACATCGTACAGGCCCTCGGCAGCTGTCTTGGTCGGGCGTCGCGGCCCCTCGGCCCGACTCCGCGCAGAGGCGTGGCCGTGAGGTGTTCGCTGCCTGCGGCCGCGGCCACCCTGCCGTGGGTCTGGTGCGGCACGCTGGCACACGAGCAGAGCCGCGCCTCAGAGTGCCTTCGTAGAGGACGGGGCAGAAGTTTGCCTTGGGGGGTGGTCTGCGTTCCCCTCGTGCCCGCCGTGGCCCTGTGCAGGCTGACCCCCATCCGGGTGCACCTGGATCGAGCGACCTGTTCCCTTCCGAGTTCGCTGGTGGGTTGCTGCGCGCGGGTTCTCTTGTTTCGCAGACCGCCCCTTGTCCGTCTTCAGTCGGATGGACACCTCTTTGTTCGGATCCCTCGTGTCGTGCTGAGCGATTCGCAGCCTTGCACTTATTCAGCGTGCGTCGAACGTCGGCATGACGGTCACGCGCGCTAGGTTTCACCCGTGGCCTTGTGGGACACGTTTCCTTGGGCAGTGGTGGGGTCGCGTGGGCTCCCGTGGAATGTGCCGTGAGCACTAAACTCTGACGTCGTTCGGAGCACGGAGGTTGGTGCACCGTCCTTGCGGACCCCGTCGTGCTGCACGCCGCGGCGAGCGGCCTTTCGCGCCTGCCGGCTCACCTGGAATTTCGTGGCCTCCCGGATGCCATGTCCCTGGGATCCTCGTGGTTTCGCGGTGGATGTGGGAATCAGCGGAGTCCTGCCGTGGCAGTTGGCGTGCGCTTGGGCGTCTCGCACACGGGAGGCATGTCAGCAGCATATTGGAAGCGGGCGTCTCCGCGCGTCTCTGTCGGCACTGCGCCATCCGCGAGCCCGATTCGCGCTTTGGAGTTCCCATCGACCCCAAATCGGCGGCGAGCGAAGGGGGGAAGTGAGAAGGAGAAGGCCCTCTCAGAAGGCGGCGAGGCTTCACAGAAGCCCTCTGGCCATCTGAGAAGTTTTCTGTATGTTCGGGGAAGGTTTAGAACACGTTTCAGAAGGCCCGGGGACTTCTGAGCCTTCTGAGAAGGCCCGCCCTTATTCACTTCCCCCCTGGGCGCGCCGCCGACCAAAGCAGTGTTCGGAACCACCTCGCACGGTCGCAGCAGCAGTCCTGGCCTACCGCATGTACCGATCACCGCGATACCACGCATGAGCCGGAGCAGGGCTCGATCCCGGCGGGCTTCACGTCCCGGCGGGCGTGTATTGCCCATTTTGGTCCTCCTCCTCCTCCTCCTCCTCCTGCTCCTCCTCCTCCTCCATTCCTTTTCCTTGTAAATGACTCATCCCTGTCGCACCCCGAGGCCGGTCGAAAGGGCGGGCCGGGCGTTTCGCCTGGGATTTCTTCACGATTTATGATCCTGAAGCTCAGAAATTGGCAGCATTTTCACAAATGGAGGGCGGGTCGTTTTCAAAAGGTGGTTCTCGCTTTGGCGCCGCGCACATTGGTTTTTCAAAATTCGCTTGAATTTTGAAGTTTCCATCGTTTACATGATTACCAGAAATTGTGTTTCGAAGCGATTCAGGATTGTCAGGGCGCAGCTGTTCCTCTGATTCGCGGTGTTGAAGTCCCAGAAATGGCGTTCTGGCACGATTCAGGATCGCCAAGATGTGCTAGTCAGGTTGCTTCTTGGCGTTGGACTCCTGAGAATGGTGATCTGGCACGCTTCAGGATTTTCACACGGTTGTCCCTCTAAGGGGCAATTTTTCCAGTGGAAATGAACCCCTTGTGTGGGGCCTTAAAAGAGGAAGCTTGGAGGGAGGGTGTATCCCAACATCGTTGATGAGGCTTGGGTTTGCACTGGTCCTCCTTGTCCTCCTCCTCCTCCTCCTCCTCTTCCTCCTCCTTTTCCTCCGCCTGCTCCTCGTCTACCGCAAGGGCAGGCTTAACCAAAACTATTTGGTGACCGTCGATGATACCACGGTGGGTTTCTTGCGCGAGTTCTCTTCCCAGGGCTTGCACGTCGCTCACGACGGCCGAGGGGGCGGGGAGAGAAGGGCAGGCGGAGGGCAGGGCAACGCGAGGGCAACGGCAGGAGCAGGGACGCATTCTCCCTCCCCGCCAAGCCTTCGACGACATGTTTGTGCTCGCGGTGTGGGCCCCTCGAGTTTGGGATCAGATCACTGGGAACAATACTCATCCAGGGTAGTTTATTGATTGCCCAGGGAAGAGGAACTGCCCCCTTGGTGCCCAAATCGCGAAAACCTGGCCGTAGTGGCTTCTGTAGTGATGGCAGAGCTCTGGTTCTACCCCCCCCCGCCTTCCCTGCGGCTGCACCTCCTGGGGTCCGGGAGGGTGAGTCAAGCACCGTTCTTGGTACTCATTTTGCCCAATCTGGCCTGGCCATGCCTACAGTCCACCCGCATAGTAAGGATGAGCGACTCTCCAATGCTACCCTGGCATCCTTGCCCCTCCGTTTCACCCTCAGCGGCTTTCACTGGCCAGCCTCGTTCGAAAAACGTCAACAGGGCCCTCCAACGCCCTTGCATCCGTACCTGGCATCCCTATTGTACGGGTTGACTGTAATCTGGCCGCCACTTGCTTCGGCCCAGTCTGGCTCAGCAATTGTGGGGGCCCACCTGACTCCATCCAGCTCGGCTAACCCTTGGTGAGCCAGCCCGACGGGTTCCGATCGCACCGCCGGCGTCCTCCCAGGAGTTGCCACCTGACCCCCCCTTGCCGGAGCCCGCCAGGGCACGGGCCCGCCGCGCCCCCTCGCCCTCCCCGCCCCTGCCCCCGCGCCACGGCCGGCGAGATGCTCCTGCCGTGGGCCAGGGACGCCAGCACCGCCTTCACGGCGAGCGCGCGCGCGCGCCGCTCTGGGGCTGGGGCGCGCGGCGAGACGTGACAGAAGGCGAGAGGAGCCGTCGGCGTGCGCGCCGGGAGGATCCTTGACGTCTCGACGGTGCGGATGCGAGAGTGGATCGCCTGCCCCAGTGCCGCTTCCAGGCAGGCAGGACCAAGTCGTACCGCGCGCCTCGTCGTCAAGCAGCCTGACCTACACGGGCCACTCCACGGGTAGCTTGGTATCGGATGATTCCCGTTTGGAGGCGACGGTGGTCAAAAGCGAGAAAGGTTTGTTTACCCATCTCTTACGTAGAGGAGGAGGAGGTAGGGGGGCGGAGAAAAAGGTACCGATACCGCTACTCCCCGGACCTCTCGAGGGGTGCGTTCTGACATTCATGTCGAAGGGAATCCAGGCGTGGGCGGCGAGGGAAGGGCAGCGGTAGCGGTATGTGCAAGTCCTCTGAGGGGGAGCAGCAGCTTCAGGATTAGACGATCGAGGGCCAAGTTTTCTGAATGTGTTTGGGTTGCGCCTTTGTCGGCCCCCTGGGGGGCCCACGCGCGGCCATGGCTGGGCGCGGCTTGAGGAGCTGCTCAGGGGACAGGACGGGCGGCAACGGGAGGAGGTCCAAGACTTGCAGGAAAGTGTCGTTTATGATTTCTTTCGATTGAAACGTAGCGCGGGTGCAGCGGCTGGGTGCGTGTGCCACGGGTTTCCTCTTGGAGGCGGCGAACATATCGAGCGCCAGCGCTAACCGCACTCAAGCACAGCTGCCGCAAATCGTTTGGTCGTCAAGTGGTGCCTGGATCGCGAAAGAGATTGCCAGTGGCCCCGAACGGGATATGAACCGCCACCTCGTGCCCCTTGGCATCACTGAGGCGTGTGCATGTTTTGTGGGCGAGGACAATCGAGAAACATCCTGGATCATCTCGCGACAAGAGGCACGCGGCGCCCGACGCCGCGTCCGGAACCGCCAGATCTCAGCGATCCACGACTTGTCCCGGTCCGACTTTCGTCTTGCAAGACTCACTCTTCCTCCCCGTCTCCCTTGTTCCAGGCCTGCCAAGCGAGGTCCGAGCTCATGGGGTCAGAGGATCGCGCCGCATCGCCGATGCATTGTCGATGCGGCTCGATGTGGGGGCCGCTGTTCCCCACGCCGATGACGCCGATGCATCGCCGACGTTGCCAGTGCATCACCGATGCATCGGCGATGTATCGGCGGTGCGGCGCAGTCCTCCGACCCCACGTGCTCGAACCCTACTTGGAAGGCCTCCACCCGTAGCCGCCGGTCGTTTGAAGTGGGCATTTCTGGGCTCCCGGATCCCAATCTACTTCAAGCGCCCTCCTACTGCAGAATCGGCATGCGTTTGCTGCGTTTGCTGGGTTTCCCCACGACAGGGGTCAGCCTCGCCTCGTCGTCGCGCCGCGACGGGGGCTCGGAGCGCCTTCGGGGCGCGGTGGCCGCCCGCGACGGGGGTCGATGTGGGGCTATCGGCGGGGGTGACGCCCCCCCGACGCTTATGAAGAAACCTCGGAGTGTCCCTCCTCTCCCGCTCCGCCCCCCTCGTGCCGGCGGGGGCTGCGCCCGCCCGGAGCTCTGCGCGCACCCCGCGTCTCCCCCCGGGGCCTCCCGAGCAGCTGCGTACCGCCCCCGGGCGGCCTCCCACGGCTCGATCTCTGGCCGCGCCATTGGGCCCCCCGGAGCTTTCGGCTCGCGACCTCTGGGCGTTTCGTAGTGGGGGTGCGATAAGCGTAAGTTGGGCGTGTCCCTCTACAGGAAGACCATTCAAAAGTAGTAAAGAATGGAATCTGGGGACGATGTTTAGAGTATGTTTGTGCATGTTTGGGATATATATATATATATATATATATATATATTGAATATCCAGCATTTTTCTTTCAATTTCCGCCTGTAGGAGGACACGCCCGACCTAACGATAAGCGAGGAGAGATGGAGGCTTGCCGGGACGGGGCCCTAAAGGGGCTCCGAAGGTGCACGGGAGGTGTACCGTGTCCCTCTCCCCCCCCGTTCAGTGCTCCCCATTACGTAACGCCTGGACCAGGACCCGCCTTCCATCCTTCGTTTGTTTCCCCCCGATTGTCTGCAACTGTCCCATACATACATGATTCGGAATCGGTGGTCCGTGGTATCCCGTGGATCGCAGGGTCTCCCTTGGGGTCTGCTGTAGGTCTCTCGTATGGTCCCCCTTGTGGCCTCCCGTATGGTTTCCGTTTCGGCAGTTTTTTAGGGGATTCATTGGGACATTCTAGAAAGTTATCCCTCTTTCTCTCTCTTTTTCTCTTTCTCTTCGTTTTTTTTTGTTTCTCTCTCTCTCTCTCTCTCTCCTTCTCGCTCTCTCTCTCTCTCTCTCTCTGTGTCCATACATATATGTACATGCATTACACATGTATATACACTACGTTCCACTTTCTATAGTGTTGCTTCAAGGTTTCGAAGAGCTTTTTAGGGGTTTCTGCCCCCAGGGTGTAATTTTCAATAGCCTCCGCGGCCTGGGAAAGTGAGATCGGCGGCGAACGACCCATGACTCGATGTTCCCGAGTCGCCAGTGGTCGGGGTCCTGGCTCGAGCATCGACCCCCTCGCGGCGCGCCCCGACCAGAGTCTCGAGGCCGACCCTGCCATGGCCACGCAGAAGTCCTGGTGGCCCAACATCGCCCCCAGGAGACCCCAGGGTCCCTGAGCATTGATCCTTGCTCCTTCCTCGATCCTTGCTCGTCGATGCTCGCTGACCATCCCCACCACCCAGACCCAGAGGAAGGGCGCGGCAGAGGGAGTGGGGCCTGGCCCGAGGTAAGGAGAAGGGGAAGGGGGAGGGGAAACAGGCTAGAGGGCATCCGGAATTGCGGGTGCCTCCCTGTCCGCAGATCCCCGCCTCGGGGAGGTCGGTGCAGGCAGGGCCAGAGCGCCGCGTAGCGCGAGCGACCCCCCTCAGACGAAGCGACCACAGCTGGGCCGCGCTTCATTTTCAATGGTACCCAGCTCTGGCCGATGCGAAGCACTGGCAGCCTCGAGCTTGGCCAGGCAGCTCGATCGATCGCCGCGGGCCCGCGACGAGCCCCTGGGGCCGCTGCCGCGGGCCGGGCGCTCCCCGCCAGATACTGGACGACGGCGCCGCCGAGGCGTCGGGGAGGTGCGCGGGCCCGCGCCGGGCCCCGCGCTCTCTGCAGCCGCCTGGCGTGGATCGGGGCAAGGTTCGGGGGATCTAGGCCCAGGGGGGACGATTGCTCGAGGTCCGAGATTTTCGGGCTTCCTCAGAGGTTTTCGGCGCTGTTCCAGCCTCGGGGAGGGCGTTCCAGGGGTACCCGAGTCTTCCAGAACGGGCGCCCGAGAAGAGTTCTGTCCCCAAAGAGCCATCAGGTGACAGGTTCAAGCGCCCGCTCATCGCCGCCAGGGGCTTGATAGCCTACCCAACCCAGCAACCTGCCGTCTCGCCATCGCGGCCCTGTCTCCGATCCATCGGCAACGCATCGCCGATTTCAGCTCGACGTTCCCCCGCCTGAGGCGGTCCCCCCCTGAGCCGCTGCCCCATCAGAGGAGCGTGGGCGCACCGCCCGGGGCTTCAGGCGGCCAGGGGCAGCACCTCGCTTCTGGCTTGGCATCGTTCCGACGTGTGCATGTTTCTCGGCGACGACCATCGATGAGCATCTGTGGTCACCTTGCGAACAAATAAACGCACGAAATCGATACATGCACGGATAATGGACGTCCGAGCGATGGCAAGTTGGGGCCACGATCGTGACGTCAAGAGTGGGTACGAAGAGCACTTGGGCGACAGCCAATATCGGCTACACGTAAGAGTGACCTTTCGCTGGAGTAACCTCGGTGTCACCCCACTGTACTGATACTATGTGTGCGTCGCCTCCCCAAGGGCGACGCGCGCAACGAGAAATCTTATATAGTATATGCGTCGTGGCGATCGCTTTCTGGCCACACCGCTCGGGAAACGATATACTACAAGATGGGTATGCTATATGAATGTTCTGGTCGGACGCGCTGCTCCAAGAAGGACATATTGTGCTAGTATGTTTCTGTGCGTCCCATGACCTTCGGTGCGGGCGTACTCGGGTCCCCCGATCGCTGAAACATCGATGCGATAGCAGCGGCTTGCGCTTGGGTTTGCCTCCCCCCCGCGCCCACCCAAAGCCGCCGCGCACCGAAGGTCACTGTTGCCTAGGGTCACTCTTGCGCGTAGCCGACAACAGGAGTTTCTTCCCATGTTGAGTTGAGTGCGCTGTCTATGTTTGCCGTGATCGTTGCCCATTCGAGACGCAAGCTCGCCTGCCCAAGAGCGACCGCTGTCGGCATTGAACTGCATTCGCGATTGGACATCGTACGTTGATGTTTTTCGGCAGCCATTTCGAGTGTGCCGAAACGGCTCGCTTCGGCTTCCAGGTCGCCAGCTACCCCTGCAGCACAGACTGCTCGTATCTGTAGCCCGCTTAACGAGATGGATGGGTTGGACGCGGGACCACCAGCACCAGCACCAGCAGAGCCCGCCCGTCAGCAGCAGTTCGAGATCGACATTGCGGTCGCATCCGACTCCGACCCTGGCGGGCAAGTGGGAGGAAGAGGTAAAATCATGGATGGGCCTACAATTTTGAATGCTATTGGCACGCTGATTGCGGAACATCTACGTCCTATCCAGCAGGACACTGCAGCAATTAAGTTTCACGGGGTCTCTCACCGGGACTTGGAAGAGACTGCATAACGTTTCGAAGCCCAAACCGAAGAATTAACCGCACAGCTCGAAGTCTTGCAGCACGAGGTGCCCAACGATATAAAAGGATATCCAGATACGTGCCCCAACATGGAGAACGCCATGAACGAGCGGTTTGACAAAATCAAACAAGACCTGGAGCATGTGGCATCTTATGCTCCAAGATCCTCCTCTGGGACCTCCCATGATCCTGTTGATCATTACCGCTGCAATGGAAAACGTGTCGTTCCTGCAGCTTCCTGTTGGAAGTTTGACGATTTCGATCGGGGGCTTGGGGCAGCAGCTTTTCAAACAGAGACGCTGACCGCAATGAACGGCCGTACGAACAAAACAAAACTGTTTTCGCTGAGTTCGGTACCGTGTTGGACAGGGATACAGCACTGAAATTGATACGGAGTGGAAGCAAGAAGCGTGGATCGAGCCCTGAATGGTTTTCGTTGGACCAGGAACCAGTAGAGCGAGTTGCACGCAAGTTTTGGTTTGGCTTCAAGCGCGTCTTGAATATTGAGCTGCACAACCAGTACACCATCGGGGTATCGGAGGAGTCGCCCTACCAGGTGCATTTTGGAGGTCGGCTAGCATCAACAGTACGCAGCACAGGTCCGACTACGGACCGTAGCTGGGAAGGCGTATGGAAGATATGTGAATATTTGCGCAGCCATCCCGGACTTACGAAATTAACGCCATCATTCGATGCCATCGCGCAGCGGGCGAACGCTGGGATGAAGGGAGAGACCAAACGAAGATCCATGGGACATGCGGGTCAGTAGGAAATGCGGCGGGTTCTGGAGCCGATCGCGGTTCCAAGTCTTCCCATATCTGTGCCAAAGACGACCAAGAGCACAATACTTGGAGCAGTTGGGCGTCGCAGGAATGCCTGATCAAACAATCTTTTACGTGGGCAATGTGGCTCTTATCAAGATGCGGGTGCTCGTGCCGATCCACCATCTTTTGGTCGTACGAGTATGGCCAAAGATACCTTCGTGAAGCCATCTATGGAAGTGTCACTTGTACCTGTGTTCAGTCCGTAATTTTTCTCCACCACCAACTGGTACAGCCACCGCTACTGGGCAATGATGCGTATTTGCTGGGTACCTCGACGGCGGTGCCGACTGTCCACGACGATTTTTAGATGGTTGGTGGAATCGCCGGACTGGGCAAAGATGCCAATTCTGGTTGCGAAGGTGGAATCCATAAGTACATGGTACTTCTTCCAATTCGGAACCTCCTCCTCTTCCCCATTCCATCTCGTCGCGCCGCGTAGGACAAGCGTTATTTTGGGGGGGGCCGAGGCGGAGCTGCCTCCCCTGCAGCTCGCGCCGCCAGGGCAGCTTGCGCATGCCGAGTGGGTTCTGCGGCGAAGTGCATGGAGATGTTTAATATGATGTCTGAGCGGCTCAGGGGCGTTCTGCGCGTTCGAGGGGCGCGCTTGAATGGTTCAGTATATTTCGCTCAAGACGGATGTTCTGCATTCCTTTCAGGCGAAACGAACTCGGAGAAAATATCCTGGGCAGGCATGGGTTCCATTGTTTCCCCGCGGACGCGGTCAGCGACAATTGCATTCTAGGCGACTGGCGATCGTCTGGCGACCTTGCGCTTGAAGACCCGCGGCGGCGCGCGCGCTGTCCTATGCGCGCGTGCCCCGCGCTGCGGAGCTCGCTGCGACATGAGGCATCGCTGAATCCTCAACTTGAAGATCTTGTTCGCTCCGCCACCGAGCACATCGCGACGCGCGTTCTCGGGGGCTTCAACGCTAGACTCCGCCAGGCGGGGGCTGGAGAGGGGGATGCCATCGGCTTCTGCGCGTTCGAAAAAGGGGCGACGGCAACGATGCAGCCTCGAACAGGAAATTGTTTGTCGCATCTTGCGTCGCGCGCGGCCCCGCCGTCGCCCGCGGTTGCTCGACGGGCCGGATGAACGCAGTTTTTTCATCGTGATTATGGTGCCCCTTTCCGACGGCTATTAAAAAAATATTCAATGTTCGCGCGAATTTACCGCGTCTTGCGCCGCCCATGGAACCCGCGCGCCATTGTGGATTGCTGGGCTGCCAGGGGCAGTCGTTGAACGGCCGGCATTTTCTCGCGGTGGCGGACGCTTCCGCACCGTTCAAGGCGGGCCGGGCACCGCGGAAAAAGTTTAATTGCAAAGGCTCGTTGAAGGGTGCCGGCGCAAATCGCGCTCTCCTGCGCGCTTTCGCATACGCTGCCCGGGCAGATTATAAAACCCGCGCTTGATGTTTGGCGGCGCAGGATCTTACGTTGCACGCGCTTTTCATCCAGCAGCGCGCGCGCCAAAAACGCACGCGCGGCGCCCCCTGGCATGCCCGCGCACGCTAGACCTCACAGAGCATTGGAAGGCGCGCCGCCAAGCTGATAATTTTACGTTGGAACAAGTATTGGAAATAATGATCCCCGAACCTGGGAAGGAAGATGGCAAAGCGTGGCTGGGGGGCGCGTGGCTGGGGGCGGATGGGAAGCGGCGCGATTGCAACGTGAGCCCATATATGCAAAACGCGCTGCCAGCAAGAAACCAGACGGCGCGCCGTCAGACACTTCAGATCGGGTGGACAGCATGGCAGGCTACTTCAAACAAGTGCAGCGGGAAAGCCAACACCCAAACTTACAACCATAATCTCAAGCTCCCACAGGTGATATTCTACCTGCGCCCACACACGCATGGCTCTTCCGATTGACGAGCTGCGCAAAATATTGCTGAAACTGAAGCTTGGAAAACCGCCTGCCCCAACGACGCCCCTTCTGACTATCCGAAAGTTCCCATGCGCGATGCATGCGCGATTGCCGTTTCATTGAGGCTCTGCCATCGATGTTGGGCCGGGGAGGCTATCCCGCAGTCTTGGAAAAGGGCGAGGGTGGCGTTGCTTTCGCGCATGCCAGGCGCATGATAGATGCCCCGCGTATCCGCGCACCGACGATAGAAGGGGAATGTTGGTACCAAAGCCAGATTGGGCAAAAGCGTTTGACATATTTGAGCCAGAAGTCATGTGCAGAACCCTACAACGACTTGGTCGACCCAGCGATATCGTGGACATGGTGCGTTCCATCTACGCAGCTCGCTTCGCCATCCTGGGCCAAGGTGGGGGCCTTGCGGAGAACAGACGAACCGCTGGCATCGTGCGGGGGTGCCCACTGTCTCCGTATTTGTTTATCGCAGTGTAGACTGTCATGCTGCGCGACTCGATCGATTCTGTACCTCGTTGTAGTTGAACCTGGGTTTGTGGCAACCCTGGAGGTTTTGTGCGTTGGCGACGCACTGTTAGCGTCGCAGTGCCAGGCGAACTTGCAGACCATGCTGAACGACATCGTGGAAGCAGGGCGCAGGTATGGCTTGGACCTCAATTGGAGGAAAGCAGCCCAAATTCATATATCCACAAACGAGCCCAGTCGTCTCCGACC